TTTTTTTTCCAGATGAAGTCAGCAACTTTCCCTCTTATACAAAATCTCGCACAACTCACAAAGTAAATAAAAACTCTCACTTCAAGACCATCTAGAAGCTAAAGGAGAGCTGAATCCAATAATTGGGAGGTGGTTCGACCGCAGCTCATGTTCTTTCTGTTTACGACCTATGGAGGGAAATTGTCAGTGGTAAGAAAAATGACAAGGTTTACTGGTTAGTGTCTCAGGTGCCAATCTATAATGCTCGTCTCTCGAGCTCATCTAGTGCATCGACTTCTACTGGATTGAAAGTGGAGCTTCATAAGCATGTTGCTACTAAGGTTGTTGCTCAGTCTTCACCCAACTAGCCACCCTAAGATTAGAGATGGAGCTAAAGTTGAAGACAAATTTTAATGCGATACTACGTCATGCATTGCAGGGATTAAAAGAGCCAGCTCAAGATGATGTTGATGGGGATGATGATGATAAGAAGATGGAGGAGAATGAGTGGGGAGTTTTTTTTTGTTTGTTTATCTAAAAAAAATTATTCGAACGAATAATAAGTTATTTATAAGCAATTGTTCTTTCGGTTGGTTTAATGCAGTCATTTGTTTTTTATTTATGTCAATGATTTATGTGTTAATTACTAATATAATATTAGTTTAATAACGGCTTTAATTAGTACACTGTGCTGTGTGGAAATTATAGTCTTATGATTATAGGTGCATAAATTTTAGTGTTATAGAAGGAGATTTATTTTTTTCTGATGGTATAGTTTTTTGACGACATACCAACAGCTTTGTGATCGATTGGATGAGTTTCGATGATCGTTCGATTGACTATCGAATAAGTAACTTATTTCTAAGATTCTATACTTTTCCAACAACTAAGGCTATCGATAATTATGGGCAATCAACCGATGGTCGTGCGACACTTTTCCAACTGATATGTGTCATTTCTTGGGACAAAAGAGCTATAATTTTTTGTGGTCTAAGGGCATCAGTTATCTTACCAATGGATATTGACAACATAAAAACATTGCTTATTTGCACCAACACCAGTTTAAAAAAACCGTAGCTAATTTCGTCGGTAAATGAATTACCGACAAATGTTTTTCTCTAATGTCAAATAAACTGGAAAAAATAACATTACCAATGATTTTTAAATAATCTCTGACTGTATTAGGCCATCAGAAATAAGCTAAATTCTTGTAGTGCCAATCGTCAGAGCTAAAAGCTATGAAAAAACGTAAAAAGTTCGGATAAGGCCAGGACACACA